GGAGTTGGAAGTCCACAAGTCTTAAAGTTGCCAAGTTTGGGGATCCCTGTTATACACTCTGGCTGGTGACAGCTTTGATGGTGTCCAGCCACCTGGTTCTTTGATGGCCTTTGACCGCTCTCTTCCAAACAAAATTAGATCTAGCACTCTAGGAAGTGACTGTAATATTGGGAAAGGTGACAGAAAAGAGGATGACTAGCAACAAGGTGGAGGAACTTACATTGGTGATGGGAAGATCTGAAGGAGCAGATGGTCTTGGAGAAAAACCTAACTACAATCAGTGATATTGTCACGTTCTGAAATTTTCCACTGTGCTATATTCCACTGTATGCCATTTAGGAAAACAGGAAGGGTTGAATTGTGTTAGTTCAGACCAAAAGCCATCTAATTTTATATTTGGTTGTCACAGTGACTAGTGAGATTTCTATGTAGTACACAAGCAGTGGACTTCACATTACACCATGCAAGGTGGAAGTTACATGTTACATCACACAATGGTGCTTCTCCATTTGAGATCTTTCTCGCTCCCTCAGATGAATGGATCCCACAGCAAGTCAAAAGTTCTGAGGCACAAACGGCCCAGTTCCGATTACCATGTTTTGGACACGTGGCACAAACACTCAGGTTCCTTGAAAAGGCCAATAATGTTGGGAAGGATGGAAGGAAAGATGACCTACAAGTAAGATGGACTAATTTACAGCGGTGATGGATGCACCACTGAAAGACCTAAAGGGTCAGGCTTGGGGTAGATTATGCTGGAGAAGCTCTTATCTGTGTGGTTGCTGAGATTTGACACTGACTTGGTGGTACATGATTAACCATATCAGCCCATTTACAGGTGAACTCAAAAAGGGGGTCTTTAGTGCTTGGTTGTTTTCTTGCAGACATTTCATTACCCAAACTAGGTAACCTCATCAGTCCTAGTGCATTGATACTCACAGGCTTTCTAGTTCAAGAACACAGCTAGTTTTCTAGAAAAAAGTACTTAGAGCATAGAAGCAGGAACTGCCAACTCCTTATCTTTAAGAGTCCAAAGGTTCAAACCATATGCCTCTTTTCCCTATCTGGGCACACCAGTGAACTGCAAACTAGTTCTTTCCCAGTGGGAAGGGCAGTTGGTATTTGTGCCAAAGGATCAAAATCTGAAAGGGTTGAGAATGCTCTGGTCATGCACACCTTGCCTTTTTTTATATACGCATATAAGAGCTTGCTGAATGAAGCTTGGATGCAAGGCTATGGTTTGTGTTGTGTTATCGTAATGGCCTTGCCTGTTCTGACAAAGATACGATTTCCTTCTACTTTTAAAGTTTGCTTAATTTAGGATCTCAAGCAACCAGGTTGTAATTAATAATTTTTTTCTATTCTTAATGTTCAGATCCAAACTATTGGAAAACTTGATGCCTAAGTTACTTGAGGCTGCATAAAAATTTACTTGTAAGAATGGAATCAGAACAACTCACTGAGTCACCTTAGCTTGCTAATCATTATTCAAACATACTTTGCTGAATAAACCAAACTCTGGTTTACAAAGCACAATTCATACAACTAGAAAGGCCAAAATCGAATCACTTTAGGGCTTAGTGTGCAAATCTCATCACTGTTCTACCTCATGCTTGCTATTTCAGTGCCAATCTCTTTCTTACACCCAACTATGGTTTGTTTTTCCTCCTAATGACAATTCATAGATGTGAACAGGATTCTCCATGGGAGGGTTCCCCCCCAAATCAAGATGGCAGCAATCTGAGCCCTGCCCCTTTCTACAAACATGAGATATGACTGTATCTACCATTTCCTCTGGAGGCAATGCTTTCTGTATGCTAGTTTCACTAAGGGCAAAGAGAGGAAACTTCAAAAATTAAGCTTAAAAGATAAATAACACAATCTGGTGTTCTACATTAAAACAGAATTCTACCATCTATGCATGTAGTTCCTAATCCCTCTTATGCTTCTGTCATTCCCCTACTGTTAACACTCCTTTGTCTTATGTCCCATATCTAATTTAGACCTCAAGTGTTTTTCTTAAATACCTTTGAAGGAAAAGATTTTAAAGTGGTCTACAGTAGATGTTTGAAATCCTGTTTGGATGCTAGAAAGAAAGAATGGTATACTCACCTCTAAACTGAGGCAGCGTGACAGTAGGAATCAATAAAATCCATTACAAGTGGTGGAGTAATGGCAATTTATTTATTTATTTCAAGGGAATGAAGTGTTGGAAAGCACATCCTGGAACATTTTGCAAATAATGATGCTAGCGATGGAACTATAGTGGGTGGAGGTTTGCTTAAATCCCAGGTCAGATGCAGATTTTGCATATGAGTAAATATGAAAAAAAAACCACCAGATTAAAGTTGTTGTGAAGGAAAATAATACAATACCAGCTGAAAACTCCCAACTTCTAGTCCTGCCTTCTTAGAGGCAGAAGCTGGGTTTGCCTCAGCCCCTGGAAGGAGGCCAAGGCAAACTATTTCTGAAAATGTTGGCAAAATGGCAACAACTTGTCCAAGCGAGGACTGTTTTAAAGTCACAAAACAAACAAACAAAACAATAGGTTTTTCTACTGTAGGAACCCGAAGGTGATCAGGAGCATCATGATGTTATAACCCTTTAACACAATTTTGGGGGGGCCGATTTCTGAAATAAGGTCATTTATCCATGACAATCTCTCACCTGACCTGTAAACCTGTGTTGTGGTGGCTTAAAATCCTTGTGCCAACTCAGGGCATTTTGTTATTTGATGTGTCACTGCATGAAGTGAACCTCAGAAGTGTGTTAATTTAGATATTGAATTACACAGGTGATGCCTGTCTGGTTGCGCCAGCCGGTTCTCTTCAAAACAATGTTCCCGTTTCACAGATGCAGCTCACAATAAGAACTGGGCAGACATCAACGGAGAAAACTTTCCATGTTAACACCTTGCCTCCCAGAATTGTGGGTGCCTCCATCATTGGAAGTTTAAAAAAAGACTGAGCAACCATTTGTCATTTGTCCGGCTTGTGTAGTGGGTTGGTCTAGAAGACCTCTAAGGTCCGTTCCGGCCTGACGATTCTATGTCCTATTTATAATTCAAGGGTGCCCTTGTTTTATCTTTTCTCCTGGGCTCTTGCTTGGAGGGTGGGGAATGATTTCTCTGGATTTCCCCGCCATCCAGTCAGAGCTGAAGAAGCTTCTTGGATGAGAAGCGAAACCTCTTCAGAGACAAAAACAAGAAAAGTCCAGTTGCCTTTTGGAAAAAAAGCACCTTTGGGACACAGCCGTGATCTGGAGGACTGAGAATCTCTACAGACTTTTAGCTATACCATTTTGGATGGACACCCTTGGAATGGTGGTGGTGGTGGTGGGTTTAGCAATGGATTTCGGGGGACGGGACGGGACTGCAGACTACAGGGACCATTTGCGCTATTCAGGTGACCCTGAAGGCACAGATAAACCTCCAAGTGGCCTCAACAACCCTCTAAAAGGATGCAAACGACCAGAGGTCTGCAAGGAATATCAATCCTCCCATTCCCCACGAGACTGAAGAAGCTTCTTGGATGAGAAGCGAAACCTCTTCAAAGACAAAGCAAGAAAAGTGCAATTGCCTCTTGGGGTGGTGGGGAAGAAAAGTATCTTTGGGACTACAGAATAGGGTTCCTGCCTGAGCAGGGGGTTGGACTAGAAGGCCTCCAAGGCCCCTTCCAAGGGGGTTATTCTATCCTATCCTATCCTATCCCTTCTCGCCCAGCACCAGACCGCCTCCACACGTCCAATTAATCTCGCGTCGTCCAAGTTTCCCGCTCTTCCCACCACACTAATCGCGGACTGACCCTCGCTCGAAAGTTTTGCCCCTTCCCACAGGCAGCCCAGAAAACTCGGGACAGCCGAGCCGAGCCGTCCGGAGCAAGGAGGCTCGAAGGCGAGCGCGCCATCCTCCTGAGGCGAAGTTGGCGGGAAGGCGAAGCGGGGTATATAAACCTCCCCCCCAACACACACACGCCTCGCTCCCGGGGCTGCTCTCCCCACTTTTCCGTCTTCTCTCGGCCTTTCGAGGAGACCCTTCCCGGGGCTGAGGGGATATGAGAGACCTCCACCCCGAGAACGGTCTCCCCGCTTGGCCGGGGCCCCTTTGCGGACGGAAAAGCTTCGCCTCCTCCTCCTCCTCCTCCGCCGAAGGCGCCAAGGGGGGGGAAAGGGGGGGGGGGGGAAAGAGAGGGCCGGGAAAGGGGGCTGCGCGCGCACCCCGCTCTTCCCCCCCCCTTCGCCCCCCTCCCCTCCCCAGTCGGCGTCCCACTGAGGAGGGGGCGGGGGGGGGGGGGGGGGGGCGGGGAAAAGAGGTGGGGTGGATGGAAGAGCCGCTGTTGCCGCTGTTGCTCTCGGGCGCGTGGCTCCTTTGTGTGGCAGCGCACCTGGGAAGGCGACCCCCGGGCTCCTTGCCTGCCATTGGAAGGGGTGGGTGGAGCCGAAGGGAAGAGAAGGGAAGGGGGCGAGGACGCGCGCTCTGCCCACCCCACGCCCCCCCCCCTTTCAGCCGCGGCAACAGCGGCCGCCTCCGTCTCGGTGGCTCCCCCCCCTTTCCTCCCTCCCCCTAGAGCGTCCCCTCACCTGTCCCTTCCGGCTCACCTGCCGCTCTCCCCCTCTCTATCATCCCGCCTCCTCCTCCTCCTCCTCCTCCTCCTCTTTCCCTCCCTCCTGCCTCGCAGAGCCCGGCAACTTGCTCCGTGGTTGCCTGCTCGGAGTGCGGACCTTTCTCTCTCTCTCTCTCTCTCTCTCTGTGTGTGCTGCGCCCGCGCGCGCCTGTTTTTGTGGGTGTGCTGGGGAAGGAGGAGGAGGAGGAGGAGGAAGAAGGGGGGCAGCCCTTTGGAAGGTGGATCTAGTCCAAGCTTCTCCAGAACTTCGCCCCTTTGGATCAAGCCGATCTCCGCCTCTCCCTCTCCCCTCCCCCCCCCCCCCCCACCCCCTACCCCGCCACACACGCTCCCCCCCTCCAACCTGACCGCCCCTCTGGCTGCCCCCCAACCCCCCACTGCGCCCTGCTGCACCCCAAGATATCAACCCTGCGAAATGGATGTAAGGTTTTATCCCGCTGCCTCGGGGAGCTCCCTTCCCGGAGACCCTTCCAGTCTGGACTTTACCCAGTGTTTGGGTTACTACAGCTATAACAAGGTGGGTATTTTTCATTATTCTTCCTCCTCCCCTCTCTCCTTCCCTCTCTCTCCCCCCCTCTTTCTCTCCTTCCCTCTCTTCTCCTTCTCTCTCTCCTTCCCTCCCTCTCTTCTCTTTCTCCTTCCCTCCTTCCCTCTTCCTTTTTCCCTCCTTCCCTCCTTCCCTCTTTCTCTCTCTCTTCTCTCTCCTTTCCTCTTCTCCCTTTCTCTCCCTTGCTCTTCCCCCTCCCTCTCTCTCTTCTCTCTCCTTCCCCCCTCTCTCTTTCTCTCCTTCCCTCCTTTCCTCTCTCTTCCTCTTCTCTCTCTCTTCTCCTTTCCTCTTCTTCCTCTCTCTTCCTCCGTCTTCCCCCTCCCTCCCTCCCTCCCTCTCTTCTCTCTCCTTCCCTCCTTCTCTCCCTCTCTCTTTCTCTCCTTCCCTCCCTTCTTCTCTCTCCCTGTTCTCTCTCTCTTCTCTTTCCTTTCCTCTTCTTCCTCTCCCTCTTTCTCTCCCTTTCCCCCCTCCCTTTCTCCCTCCCTGCCCCCTTTCTCTCCCTCTCTCTCTATTTCTCTCTCTCTCTGCCGCCCCCCCCTTTAATCTTTTGTTCCAGAGGGTGCCTAACTGTGTTATAGTTTTTGGCTTTGCATTGGATGATGTTGTGGTTTTGGTCATAGTTTGGTTTGACTTCTAGAGATGGTGGGTGGCAGCTCTGGTTTGGTGGTATGTAACTCCAGGGGAGGCAGGAGAAAGTGGGGAAAAGAGATGGTCTCGATCTTACAACTTCGACCGATGCGCCGGTTTTAAAACTAGTTTTTTGTTTTTGTTTTATAATCAGAACTTTCCAAGTTTTTGTTTTCCTCGCCAGAACTTTCCTCCTCCCGTCCTTTCTCAGTTATTTCCAAATCATCCTTGCTTGTTGTTGTTTGTTTGCTGTTTTCCATTTCCCCCTGTCCCCTTTGCAAATACAATCCCTTGTAACTTCCTCCCAGCTCGTTTGGCGCTTACCGAGTGGGCTCCTTTCAGGATAGGGTGGTTTTCATTGGTTGTGGGGGGACCTGCTGGCGAAGAAAACATCCCCGTGCATGCTGTATCCAAGTCCCCCCACCTCCAAATAATGCATTTTTAAAGATGTGTTTTTCTGTCTTTTGGGGAGAACAATAAACAGTTTTTTGCTGGTTCTGCTTTGGGTGCAGGAGTTTGGAAGCAGCTGCTGGCTTTGCTTCCTTTTTATTTGGTGGTTCTGAAATCAGACTTGTGTGTGTGTGTGTATGTTTAAGGCCGGGTATTTAGATTGCATTACACTCGTATGGATTACTAGTAGTTGTGTGTTTGCCTCCTGCCATTTCTCTGTCCTTCTTCTCACAATAGTCCCAGCCCTTTTCCACATTCCTCCACATTTCTTCCTGGTTCAGGATGTTTAAAGCAAGGATTTGATTCTACTAACCGAGCATGTTTTTTTTGGGAGAAACTTGATGGGAATCTCGTGAGCCTTGCATCTAAAATAAAGCCATGCCAGCCAGCCCGAGCAACTCAGATCCACCCCAACGGAGAAAGAGGTGGCTACCACATCTTCAGCTCCTGTCTTCATCAAGAGAAGAACCTTTTTAACGGTGTCTCATTGAGCCAGCTGGAAAAGTTGTAGCCGCTGCTTAGTTCTATGTCTTATTGATATCTCCCTTTCTTGTCAAGAGATTACAGATGACAGAATACATGTAATAGCCAGAAGGGATGGATATTCCCTGCGGCTAAATGCATTACACAAAATATGTTTCAAACCGTATCTGGTTTGTTTTCACCAGCTGCCAGACAAGGAAAGGGAAAATTTCAAACTTAAGAAGGTGACTCATGTTACTCCATAAAGGACTTGGCTATTTGCACTATGCTTGTGTCAATAGCACGCCAAGTTATTAGCACTGGGCCTTCGTCCATGTCTTATAAAGATCCCTTTCACGGTGAACTCGTCCCCTTTTGACTCTGTTTGTGCAACCTAGGGGCCCTCTCATGTGAGATGCTGCTGCCTTAAGATACTGAGAAATTGCAGTGCCGTGCAGAGAACTTCACCGATATCTGGTTTTATTGTTAGTGTCACTTGATAAAAGTTTGGAAAAATGGAAAGCCAGCAGGGAAGGAAAATATTATTTAAAAAAATGTTGGGAAGTGTTTTCAGAAGTTTATTGTTGGAACCATTTAATCCTTGGTGGATGGATGTCACCAAAATGACGCCCCCACCTCAATTAAGACAGCTTTAATTTCAGATATATGCGTGGTGGGAAGGAATATCTACATTAGCTTTCCGTGGAGTGAAGGGCTTGAGAATTATATAAATTAGAAGCCGGTAGTTAATTTCATATGTTTAGTAAATGCAGTGTAACCAAATGCAGGGTGTGTTTGTGTGTGTGTATGTGCCTTTTCACCAGTCAAAATTGGAACAGTCTTTGAACAAAGCCTTAAGTGTATATTCTCCTTGGCAAATGCAACATGGAAAATACCAGCTTGCTGATGTGTTGATGATATGAAAAGAAAGGAGAGAGACATTGTTACGAATTAGAGGTTGCAGAATCACTCTTTTTTTTAAAAAAAAAAAACAGTTTTAATAAGCCCTAAACAACCTTGCACTGCCATTTGGTGGTCAGCAAATGTATAATGCTGCAAATTTAGTTGAGCATGAATTCTCTCTGCTGTTTGCATTCAAGAACTGTTTCTATGATACATTACTTTTTTAAAAAAAATTATAGTTTGTGTATTGTCTGGATGCCTAATAGCTAATGAATAAAACAACACTGCAGGGTTTTTTTTTTTGGTTGTTGTTTTATTTGCAACTTTAATATCTGTACAATTTTTAAATTAGATGCTTGTGGAAAAGAACCAGTTGTAATCATATTTGAAATAAAATACTGTACAGCCTTGTTTCTAGAAGGAAGGTAGAGGGCAGCTGATGGATGATGTTTCTTAGAATATCCACCTCCCATTTGATCGGCTAGAAACTATTAACTCCTATATTTCTCCCCCACCTCCCGCTTAATGAAGAATATAACTTGGACTGGGTTTCTACAAAAGGACGAAGAGGGACTGTTGAAATGGACAGGATATAAGAACTTGTTTCCAAATATTGGATAATCCTTACAGCTAGAACAAGTCCAGTAATCTTAGTGATTTCTGTAGAGTAAAATGCCTGAAGACTGTGATTATAGATTTTAAACTTTATTTATGCAGCTTTAAACCACTGTTAGCAAAAGATTGTTTTAGATATAGCTTGCTTTTTCAATTATAACTTCATTCAAACAGCTTCTGATGGTTACTCATCTAAAATTGCTTCTGTCTATCTGCTGTCATATCTATCTATCTATCTATCTATCTATCTATCTATCTATCACCATCTGTCTATCTAATCTTTACATATAGGCTGTAAACTCAAACTTAGCAACAATAGGTAGGCAGTGTGAATTTGTGAGTGTTGAATCAGTGTCTAATGTCTATATGAGTGTATGTTACGTGATGTATAAATTGGCCAGCATGGATTGCTATACCTGATGTTCTCTTATAATACAATGATCTGTAATGCATAACACATGATTGGTGTTACATGACTAATAATTATTGCTCATAGAACATAGCATTTTGTCAATTCAGACTATCATGAATTCAGTGGGTCTGTGTGGAGTGAATGGTTAGAGGTTCTATAATTGCCTCTTTTATCAAGTTGAACCAAGCCATGATTTCAGCAAGGTATCACGGCATGATCGAAGGATCATGCTAAATCCATGGTTTGCAAAACATGGTGGTTGGATTTCATATTAAGGCAACCTAAGTCACAAAGGTGCTGTAGACAAAATCCAATCCAACCCCATTCTGGCTTACTGGGATGTGTAAAATAATATCATACCCATCTTTTTAATACAAAACAAGAACTCCCATTGCAAAACAGTCAGGATAATATTCAAAAGTACTTACAAATTTATGTCATGCAACCTATGCACGAGAATCTGATCTACTAATGATCAAGATGAATGGGTGCTAGATTCTTACACTCTCTCTCTCTGTGTAGAGACTCCAAACTGATGATGCATTTGACCCCACTCTTGGGCTCAGGCTGGTCTTCTCCTACACAAACAAGATCTTAATCAGAATAGAGCTGGAGGGGGCCTTGGAGGTCTTCTAGTCCAAACCCTGCTCAAGCAGGAGACCCTATACCATTTCAGACAAGTGCCTGTCCAGTCTCTTCTAAAACGCCCCCAGGGATGAAGCACCCACAACTTCTGGTGGCAAGCTGTTCCACTGGTTAATTGTCCTCACTGTTAGGAAGTTTCTCCTTAATTCCAGGTTGCATCTCTCCTTGATTAGTTTCCATCCATTGTTTCTTGTCTTGCCTTCTGGTGCTTTGGACAATAATTTGACCCCCTCCTTTTTGTGGCAACCTCTCAAATACTGGAATCCTGCTATCATGTCCCCCCCAGTCCTTCTTTTCCCTTGACTAGCCAAACCCAAATCCTGCAACCATTCATCATATGTTTTAGTCTCCAGGCCTTGAATCATCTTAGTTGCTCTTCTCTGCACTTTTCCCAAAGTCTCAACATCTTTTTTTGTAATGCGGTGACCAAAACTTGGATGTAGTATTCCAGGTGTGGCCTTACTAAGGATTTATAAAGCGGTACTAATACTCCATGTGATTTTGATTCTTGGTTTATAAAACCAAGGATTGTATTAACTTTTTTGGCTGCCGCCACGCACTGCTGGCTCATGTTTAAGGGATCATCCACTAGGACTCCAAGGTCCATCTCACAGTTATTGTTTTCAAGCTTCTCCCTGCTTTATGAGAGACTCAACTCTATAGTCTAAGGGCCTTCAAATTTGGCAATCAACCCAGAAGTTGCCTTCGGAAGTTGTGGGAGCTTCATCACTGGAGGCTTTCAAAAAGAGACTGGACTGCCATTTGTCAGAGATGGTATAGGGTTTCCTGCTTGGGTGGGTGGGGGGTTGCACTAGATGACCCACAAGATCCCTTCCAACTTTGTTAATTCCTGAGC